GAGGGAGGGAGGGAGGGAGGGAATCTTCATCATACAAAGTTGACAGCAGGATGTGAGAAAAATCCCTCAGGTCTTTGTCCACATGAAGTAGAAAAGGTTGAAGGCATTTAAGGGTGGAGTATTTTCAGAAGACACAAAGAGGTTGTCAAAGTGAAACTGAAGGGGAATTTTACAGCAGAATGTACAAGAATGAGAAGATTGAAAGGAGGTTTTTACAGAGAGTGATGACACAGTGTGAGGCCCTTTGAAGAATGTGGAACAGCAAACCACAAGATGCGCTTGGAAGTCCCACATTTTCCACTTTGAAGTAGAATATAGAAGGGGAAAACTACAAACGTTGAAAATATGTTCCCCAAACTCCAAACCAAATGCAGTTTTCTCAACATCCCTACGCAATAAATGTCCCCAGGACCACAAACTTGCCCTGGACTACGTCACACAGTCCAGACCTGATAAGGAATTGTACTGCTTTGTGTGTTATTTTCTGGGTTTTCAGTAAGTCTTTAGTTTTAATAGCTCATCTTATTTAGGAATTACAGCAAATCTTTTAGGGAGGAAACCAGATTAATATTTATATCACTGAAAAGTTTAAGGAATAGAGTTTTGTTGCAGATATTTCTAAATTCTTTTCATATGTTTAAACTTTTAAAAGATTTCTAATGACCTAGTTCATCAAAAATGCTTAGTACTCTAAACATAAAACAGTTTTAGAATTTATAAAAAAAATAGTCAATAGAAAAGTAAATTTCAGGGGCTGCGGAGGTGGCTCATTGGTTAAGAACACTGGTTGTTCTTGCAGAAGACCCGGGTTTGCATCCCAGCACCCACATGGCAGCTAACAACTATCTATAACTCCAGTCCCAGGGGATCCAACAGCCTCTTCTGACCTCCTTGGGCATTGCACGACGCAGGTGTACTTACCTACATGCAGGCAATACACGCATACACATAAAATAAAAATATTTTTTTAAGTTTAAAAAAAAGTAAATTTCAGTAGTATATTTATTTTGAGTCATATTTTTAAGATAAAGTTACATAAGTAAAATCCCCTCATCTTAGGTTCATAACTCAGTGAATTTTGACAGATGTGTAGTCATGAACCGTCACCAAAATCAAGATTAAGTCATTTCAGCATTCCGAAACTTCCTTCATCCCAGCTACCTACTGCTGATTGCTGGCCCATCACTTTGTGTTTTCCAGAACATCGTGTATTGAAATGGGGCATTCGTGGTGATTTCTGTGCTTGTCACAGTGGTTCATTTTGTACCCAGCTCTTCAGATCCTCCGTTGGTAGGATCATTCCAGTGTGTGGCCCGTACAGGCCCTGCATGTCCGTTGATGGACGCTGAGGTTGTTCAAGGTTTTCACTTTGTGAATGCTGCTCATAGAAACTGTGCAGGTGGTTGAGCAGATATTCAGGTTATGTCACTTTGTTCTTTAACGCCTTGGGTAGCTGGATGGGTCGTAAGAAGATTCTGCACTTGATCTTTTAAGAAACTTCCGTGTTGTCCCAAAACAGCAGCTGTTTCTCGTTCCTGTCACTGTTCAGCAGTTTTTATTTCTTCAGTTCAGTCAGTCTAGTAGATGTGCTGTCTCCTTGTAGCATATTTATATGTCCAGTCAGCATCTCTATGTACTTACTAATAAAAGACATTGTTTATTTGGCAATGATTCAAGGTTTTATTCATTTTTCTTGCCTTGCCTTTTTAATGTTGAATTCTGTTATTCATAGATCGTGGACGTGAGCCTTTGCAGATATTGGTTAGCAGATACCTCTTCTAGCTCTATGGCTCATATCCTTACTCTCTAAAGAGCGTCCTCCATGGAGAAGCTTTTAAACTTTTATGAAGTCTCATTTAATAGTATGGTTTATGCTCTAGTTTTCTAAGAAACCTTTGCTAAATTCAGAGTTTTGGTGATTTTTTCTGAAGCGTGCTTCTGGAACTTTCACAGTTCAGATTCTATCCTTTGTTTTGCGATGAATTTAGTGTCAACCTTTATACATCTGCAAGGTTTCAGGACCATGATGTATTTCTGTTATATACAGGGATCCAGTTGCCTGGGGGCTGTTTATTGGACATACTATCTTTCCTTACTAGAATTGCCTGGGTATCAAGTCAGTTGGCCGTACACACTGGGGTCCGTCCCAGCTTTCTGTTGTGTTACACTAACATATATGCCTATCTTTACACAAGTTGCACACTACCTTCATTCCTATAGGCTTATGGTAAATCATAAAATCAGTCAATATGAGTGCCGTCCTAGTTTGTTTCTGCATTGCTGTGACAAAAATACTCTGACCAATGCCAACTTGGGGGGGAAAGGGTTTATTTTATCTTACATCTCCCTGGTCACAGTTCATCAGGTAGCCCAAGGTAGGAACTCAGGGCAGGAACCTGGAGGCAGAAGCTGGAACACAGGCCATGGAGGAACGCTGCTTACTGGCTTGCTCCCCTGGCCCCTGCTCAGCTTGCTTTCTTATGCAACACAGGCCCACCTGCCCAGGGGTGGCACCACCCACAGTGTGCTGGGCCCTCCCACATCATACAACAATCAAGAAGATGCCCCAACAGACATGGCACAGTCCAGTCCAATAGAGGCAATTCTCCAATTGAAGCTCCCTCAACCCAGGTGTGTCAGGTTGACACTAAAGCTATCCAGCACAGAGTCCTTTTTTCTTCTTCATTAAAACTGTTTGGGCTATTTTAGGCCATTTCCTTTTCTATAGAGTCAACTTGCCAGATTCTTCAAAGACATAAGAGTGTGCCAGGATTCTGATAAGGACAGAATTAAATCGGTAGATCAGTTTGATTAGAACTGATACTTGGAAAACATTATGCATTCTCATCTCTGAGTATAATATGTCTCCACACTGTTTTCCGTCTTTTACATTTTCTTTTTTAACTTTCGTGTATTTTGGCATATGGAGGCTCCAATGTACCATTTTGGCATATAGCGGCTGCAGTGTAACATTCATTTTACTGCTGTGTGTTTAACATGTTTATGCTATTACTGATAATTTTTATTATTTCACTTATTTTGCTATGTATGTAAATACAGTAGATCTTTATATTTATCATATAAATGTACTAACATCACTTGTGAGCTCTGAGGATTGTTTCTGAAGACTCTGGAGAGGTTTCCTCTGTAAACAGCCATGTTGTCTGTGGATCAATCTTATTTCTTGTGCTTGCCTGTATGTCATGTGGGTTTTTTTCTTGCCTGGTTCATCGTGTAGACATCTCCTCTCCCACTGACTAAGAAGTGAGGATAGACTACATTGTCTTCTTTTCGTCATCTGCTCTTATTTCTTTTTTTTAAATAATTTATTGAGAATTTTATACATGCATATAAGGTGTTTTGATCAAATCCATGCCCACTCCCTCCCCTCCAACTCCTCCCATATCTCCCCATGACTATTTTCTGATAACTTCATGTACTCTTCCTTCTTCTTTAATTCACTTTTATGGGCTTTTGGCTACTCTAACATTCCCCCTTCTGAAGAGGTAACCCTAAAATCTTTTAAGGATTAGATAAAAGCTTCCAAATATTGTCAACATTTTTGGCCTTTGGAATAGACTACATTGCTAAGAGGCCCTAGGACATTGTAAGTTTTAGCCAAGAAACTTGCTACATTTCTTTGGGGTCTTTTTACCCTAACTGCCTAGCCAATTCCTACCTCCTATTCTTCTCATGCCATCCTCTAAAGGGGTTACCCAAATTGCCAATAGGTAATAGGGACACAGACCGCTCTGGCTTCTTCCATGCTGAACAGGGACACAGGGTGAGGCAACTGGGGTACTCCTTAAGTGGGTCTATTTAAAAGACTCTCAAATTGAAAGCAAATTTATCCATCATTTTAGAACAATAGCTGTTGTTTCCCTTAGCTACAGGTGGGCACTACAGTATTGGAGACCAAGATTTGAAGTCTTACATCTGAACAGCACTTTCTGGTTAGGAACAAAATCATCAATGAGAAATAATTGTCTAAATAACTTTTATATAGACCTAAGCCTAATTC